TTCTCAATACAACATGAAATATTCCAGGACTTGTAAAGACTATCATATTAACTTAAAGAACACAGTCGGCGCAATAACAATTGACCTTAGCCATCAAAAAAAATGAAAAAACGAAATGAATCAATTACATTTCGATTGGGAGATGCATAATGAGATAGGAACACCACAGGTAGCCCTAAAAAGAACGACAGACAAATGTGTTGACAAAATCACCTGAATGCAAGCCAACAGCTCATTGATATATACTGTAATGGTCAATCCTGTCATCATACCACCCAATGTGATTGATAAGGCCCTTACAGCAGATGTGAGAGAAATAAGATCTTCTCTGCATAAAAAATGCATAAATTCAAATTTTCAAATTAAGACCAGAATATTAACTCAATGCAGCTCACAGATAATATGTCCAGCAAGACTTAAAGAAACCTCAGTTAAAAAGGAATCCAGAAACAAGGAAGCACAGGTAGGCAGGTTTGAATCATATGAAGCAAATGTTAATTCCTTCAAAGAGTAGAACATCACTGCAATGTGAAAGATAAGACATAAAGGGCAAATATTATACCATACCACTACGAGTACATGAATACGCAAATTATAGATATTATTCTTAAATCATCCCAACCAAAATTTAATCCTTAGTGGAAGTTGAATATCACTCCAATATGGTATATGCCATTATGAGTGTCAGAGGCAAACCAGTTCAATCTTCCAATAGCATCACAATTGCCAAATAGCGTACAACAGCATATATCTCATTTCATAAATATGACCAGCTCATAATGCTAAAATAATAGAATAACCTGAAATCATTTGTTATCGATATGAGTAGCCTTTAGAAACTTCACAAAGAAACTCAGTCTCTCTCACATTATACCTCCCAGTTGTATAAATCACTTTCTCAAACATGTGGTTCAGGAACCAAAACCCAGCTTACCCTATTAAAGGAGAAAGATAAGATATTTTATGTTAAGAACCTATAAAATTTCATAGGATTGGAAGGGCATTTCCTGATACGGTACATGCTCATAAGTTTCCTTGTAATAATAGCTACTCATGGTTCAACATCTGGGGATCTTTCTAAAAAAAAATTTCTTTTCTTTTCTTTTTTCTTTCTTTTTTTTGGAAAGATAGCTTGTAATTTCTAACAAACTTCAGAGAGAAAATTCATTGGCATCATCAGAAAGTAAAAAAAAAAAATGCAAAGATATGTAAGCAGTCAACGTTTCAACATCCAAGCCTCATGAGGTGTTTTAATATTGAAATTATGACACATTGAAGTTCAAGTGACATGCAATCAAAAGAGAAGAAGGTATATGAACTTCAACTAGATTCGAAGTATGCAGCATTCAAGATGCATATCAAATCGTGAAATCAAACAAAATACATTATAGTCGATGAAATGGAGCAAGAATTTGGGATTTCCCACCTGTAAGATGTTGACTGCAGAGTTATTGACACAGGATCAATGACTTGAAGTCTACGATTTTCTACTAGTTCCTCCATGAAAACATACACACCTTCCAAACTTAGGTGAGCATTATGTATCAATCTCTCCTGGGAGTTATAACTGCCGTTTGAACTGTGTTTAAGAATATTAGCTAAAGGAGGCTTCTTCAACCAAACATATTCAGATGTTGCTTCACCCGAATGGGGCACATCCAATGCACATAAAAGCGTACTAGAAGCTGGCCAAAAAGCCAGTTCAATCTTTTCCAAACCAAGTGTGTATGAGTAGTTATCATGGACATTAGCAGCAAACATATCATTCATGGACCTCAATGATCCTTGTCTTGGTATAGAGATATGGACATTAGGGCCAGCTATAGCTACTCCAACCTGAACGTTCTTCTCAGGGACAAAGTGTGGGAATGCTTTCTTCATGTTATTAATAAAAGACCCATATTTTTGTCCCCACCAGAAAGAAGGTTGCCCATTTATATTGGTAGAGGAATGTGAAGAAACCTTCTCAAGCCCGCATCTTGTTGAAGTATTACAGAGAGCATATTTTAGCTGCATAACTAGCAGAGAAACAGAAGCCATGGTTGAATGATCCAAATCAAAATTCAATTTTCCAGCAGCCAATCCAATTTTCAAGAATCCAGAGCCACAACCATTAAGATATGGGTTGATAGCAAAAGCTTTTACTTCAAGAATAAGGAAAGGTTCTCGTGAACATGGTATACCTTTAGCTATACAGAAGTCGGTACTTATCTTCCAATCTGACCACATTTCACTTAGATGATTTTCCAAAAGCATGGTCCATGCATTTCTGAAATCATTTCCATAATTAATTGAATTACCTTTTCCCTTTTGCTGAACCTGTGGAGCAGGCATGCTCCACAATATCTTCTTGAAATCATGACCATCCACAACATCCGCCTCGAATTCAATACCTTCAAAGTTACCCTCTTTCTCCAACTGGTTTGCTTCCTTTTTCATTCTTGATGAAGGAGAGAATTGAATGTCAAATTGTCCATAGGTCAATGACAAAAAGTTTGCACTGTCATTCACATCATAAGACAAACAAAGAGAATTTAAAACAAAAATAACCGAACCTAGAAGTATTCCAGGAGGCTTATTCACCGCATCTGTTTTTCGTCTATTGGTAAGTTGTGCCCTATTTTCGTGAGAAATGCGAATAAAAATTCTCCCTATGTTGAGAGTGAAGCATTGTTGTGTCTTGGAACTCTCATGCCCTCTGACATGAGAGCCACTCTTGAACACAGGTGAGGGCATTTCATTTTCTAACCATTGATCATAACCATCATGACTTGTGAACCAAAGTAAACAAGATACAAATCTCAGTAATTTACACAATGTCATGAATAGAAAGAAGAAGGGGATGTATATCACTCTGCAAAGGCATTTAATCAATGAGAAGAGGACCCCAAGAACACGATGCATGTTCATGATGTAACTGTTGCACATGGATTCTGATGTTATGTTTTTAGAATGTGCTTTTGCCCTATAACGCGCAACTCGCCGTGCCACTGCCACTGCTTCAACAGGTAGCTTCTTTTCAATTCCACAAACCTCCAACCATAAGCAATTAATGTAACGGAATGATCCTCTGTCTCTTGTGCACGTAGAGCTCATCTTGGTGAGAACAGTATCAGCACAGTACCCAACTTGCAACAACAATGTCTCATAAGCATGAACATAACGTTTCCAAATGATAACAGTATCAACCAATCTTTGAAGATAAAGCCTTGCAGTCAAACCGCTGATTCTACAAGCAGCTCTCTTCCACAGTTCCTTACCATTTATCACGTTCTCGACTTTTTCAGAAGATTCTGTGGTTTTATTGCGCATTGCTTGTCTTGAATTCCCTGTATCTAGCACCTCATAAGCTAGAAGAAGAACAAAAAGATCTTGTGGACAAAACCCAGAGCTTATTTCAGGGAAATAAGCGTGAAAGTCTCTCAATTGGAGATGACTCAGTCCCACATGAATTGAAGAGTCTCTGATATAAATTCTATGGTCACTACAACCGACTGACACCTGATCTTTTTTCTTCAAGCCAACCTCAAAACCTTTAACACTAAAAACCAGTGAACTGCATCTTTGAGGCAGTAAAAGAGAACAAAAAAAGTCTTCTAAAGAATCTATGGTAGTCATATAGCTTACTTACCATGCTGACTTCCTTTACCCTCAGAAAAAGATCATGCGATGTATCACCTGCAGCTCCCATGGACAATTCATTTTTCCTGGACAATGGCAATTGGATACGAACATCATGAAGCTGCACTCGGCAATGCTGAAGAATCGCATTTGTCAAAGCAGTTGATAACCAAGGTTCTGAGTTTGTGGTAGTTGAAATTCTCCGTAATGTCTCATGCCAAAATGTCCCCTGAAACCCATGATAAGAGGTACTAACTTCAGTGAACTGAAAGTAAGCCAAGAAATAGAAAACTAAAATGAAGGAGATGGGGTGAGAGGCATTAGATTCAGATATACTTGTACAGAAAGCAGAGAAAGAGAAAAGGCATTCTTTTGTAAACAAAAAAAGTAACAAAGGATGCCAAGCATCACATTTCCCACAGTTAGGATTTTCAAAATTCCACAGCAGAGACCCAATCCTATGAGGATAAACACTCGATGCCAAGCTTTTTAGTTCATCAAAGAGTTCGACAAAGAATGACAACAACTGAAACACCATTGTCTGCCATTATGACAGCGTGATGGTGAGCTAAAAACTATCAGAATAATTCCAATACCTCAGGATCAAGGAGAGCAAGCATTTCCTTCTGGGTTTGCTCACTCCAACGGCCTGCTCTGACTCTTCCTCCTGAAGAGCTCCCCATGCCCCTAGAAACCCACAATAATAGGTCAATTACAATAACAAATAAATAGAGAAAAGTAGGCTGATTGCGCCCTTGCCTATTATTTGCGATTGCAGAACATATGTTCACTAAAATGGCAGAAAATCAGACAAATTCCTCAGTATTATGTATGATGAATATATTCACCACAAGGCCTTGTAACTTTGTTTGTGTAAAAGAAAACAAATTGATGAATCATAATCAGCTTAATTTTAAATATCATTGGAGATAGTTATGTGAAAATGAAAAACCAATCAAGAAGGGAATAGCTGTTGGGTTTTAAAGAACCAGTTAGGCATGGAAACAAGAACATAAAGATCAGGAGCTGCAAGAATAATGTACTAAATTGGCTAGAAAAGAAATGAACGAGTGGAAATCATACTACGAGCATGAGAAATAAAGCATAAAGCACACATACCACAAGAACACAAGATATATGTGGTTCACCCCCAAAGGGGCTACTACCATGGGCATGACGAATTGAAATTCACTATTCCGATAAGAGTGACATCACAGAATTTAAAACACAAAAAGGTATCTCTCTAACCCTCGACATATTGAATCAAATAACCTATTCCAACACTCTCCCAACCGACATTACTGGCCAATCTTCCTTCTCTATACCTCTGGCAATTATTACTAAACGCACCAGATGCAAGAGCAATGAGAAATTGAGTTTCTCTTTACAAAAGGAATAATATCCAAAATCTCCATGGGAACCACTTCTGTACAAGAAATAAGCCTCTCTGTCAACATGAGCAGTTGTGCCATTTCCCTGTATAGAAGTTTGCTTCTCTCTCTAAAAGGCTCCTTCAAAGACTCCCCCTTCTCTATGCAGGAGGTCCTTGCCTCTCTCTAGAGGGAAGTCTACCTTCTATAGACTCTCTCAAAAAACCCTACCTTCAACCTCAAGTAACCTATAACAAGAGATATACTCTATCCCATGATCTCATACCTTTAGTAAGTTCTCTAAGAAGATACTCATTCCCCAAATTAAGGATTCACATTCCCACGAGTATGAAACAAAATCACTCACAGTGTTGCTTGGGATTAAAGATAAACCTCAACAATACCTTACTCCACCATCTAATACTGTTTAACAGTTCCTTCCATTTGGGGTTAGATGATTGCATAGTAAAGGCAGGAAAAGGATAAATTAAAAGAAAATTCGGACAAAATTAGGAGAAATAATAGGAAAACAAGTAGAAAAACTAGTAAATGAGTATAAGGAGAAAAGAAAGAGATAAACAAATTCATAAAATATCCAGTTACTAAATTTATAAAAAAAAAAAAAAGAGCTAAGAGTCAACTTTGAAATAATCTAAAATGCAATTTATTGATGGTAACATGCATTTGTAGGAGTTAAATTATAATGTCTAAACGTGTTAAAAAATGTTATTGACAGAAATGGCTCTCAGTTTTATCTTCCTTTTTTTTTCTAAACTTAGATAACAAATGTTGCTTTGATTGCCTCCTTTTCATTATGTTTAGGTCCATAAATCTAGTCCATTACAGATTCTCAAGAAAATCTACTGTATGCAATATCCAAAATGGGGCGAGCTTACCCAGATATTAAAACCTGAGAGCCAAAATTACAAATTCAAAAACCAAATTGTGCTAGCCCACCCTTTCTTTGATCTTGACCAAATGCTATGACACTAATCTTTGCATGTGTTTGCATAGAACCTAACATTGTTCTTAGCAAGGCTATTTTTCAAGGTTAGAAGGTCAATGTTTAAAGCTGAGAATGGTGTGCCCGCTCCATCTAAATTCAATGTTATAGCATATAACCTCCTCGAAATAAAGGCAGCACCGAGATCAATTAGTAATTTAACCATTCAATAAATTGAAAGTCACACTGATTCAAACAATTGAAACTAGCATAAGAAACAATGTTCTAAACACTGAAAATGTGACTAATTCAAACAAATGAAATTTTCATTAATTTTAAGAAATAGAAAATTTTCACTAGTACTATCCATGGAAACCAGCAACAAGAACTAAACCCCATCAATGGATATCTTCACTCATTCAAAAAAGCAGCCAAAATTCAAAAGAGAAAGAAAATGAATATCCATTAGGACAAAATAAGAACGAGTAAAATGAACAAACCTTGGAGTTAGGGTCACATGAACGCCATGAACTTCAAAAGTGAATGCATATCTCGACCATGGCTTAAGCATAAATTGCAGGTGCTCAATCCTTGCCACCTCAAACTCAACAGGAGAGTTTGACTCATTAATAACTCGATTGAGAGCAGACACATTCAGGAGAAGATTCTTCGCAGAACCCTTCGATTCCAGAAACCCTAATTTCAGGTCAAGCTCGGCTTCTTCTTCCAGCCATGGCCCCAAGAGAGAAGCCACCCTGGCTCTAAGTGCCTCATTGAGTACCATCGTTTATGGATAGCTTCAAAACTGGAGTAACAACTGGGTCTTGTTCTTCGCTTTCGCCATCAAAGAGCCTGAAGATTCACGATAAAAAGACAATAAATTTGTGAAAAAATGAGAAATAAACTCTTTGAAGCTTGAAGCGAGGTTTAAAGCTTAATGATGAGTCCCGCCTCTTCAAGATCAGAGACTAAAAGGGATTTCTTGTTTACAGATGCGCGCATATACACTGTGTAAATTCATTATTGTTTTCACCGTCTAATTGAGAGAAAGAAAGGAGATAGTTTGCGAGCAGTGTGTACACTATTGAGCAGTTACATGATTGCTGGGGACCACTCTTCAACCATCACGTTCAACCCAAGAAGGCGACGGCAATGGGAGCGAGCCCATGTCTATGTTTTTTCACTTTTTTTTTTTTTAATAAGTGGGGATTTAAGCCCCTCCCCATTTTTTTATTAATATTAAAAAAAAAATACAAAATTTATGTTACAAATTCTTTTCAAAATTAGTTCCACCCATATCAACAGATATGAGAAAAGGAAACGGCACGAAATCCAGTGGCCGGGCTTTGCCAAACTCTTGGCCAAGTTGTCTGCCACTTTGTTGGCCTCTATCATAGTTGTGTGAGATGCTCCAAGATGGCCTCCAAGATTGTGTGAACAATTTAAAGCAAAAGTGTGAAGATTATCGGGGGAGATTATGGTGACCAAGAATGGAGTGCACCGAGATTTGTGAGTCATTTCTATTGCATCTTAATAGCCAGCTAGATAATAAGAGATGGGTGAAGATCTTGTAATTATTTTATATATTTTATTATATATAAACAATGTAATACTTATTATATATATTACTTGTGAAAAAGTTGTTCATGAGTCCACGGGTGCAAGCCCCCTTACACGCTGAATCACCAATATCCATCTCTAAGATGGACATTGTAAAAAACCCATGCGATTGAAATGAATTTGAGCAGTGTAGAATTTTTCTTTGAAAATATCACATTTTAAATATTAAAAGTTTCATTCGATTTTTCATGTTTATGATCATCTTAACCTAGATCGTGCATCTCTAGAATTTTGGATTAAGAATTCATGTTTAAGATAGATTTAAGTGGGGGCCGGTATGTAAAGTATGAGTAACTCATGAAGACCTCATTCATTACTCGTTGTACTCTATCTTGATGTGCAAGTTAACCCAATGGTATCCATACAAGTTGATATTAGTGAATGGAGAAACAAGTTTCTCCTTGTGCTTCTTTGTACGTTTGATTGTTGCTTACTGTTTTCATTTTTGTCGATTGATTTTGATATTGCAAACCTTCGTCCATCTCGGCTGAAATTACGAATTAATAAAGAAATATCATATTGTGTTATAACTAATGGGGTACACGATGTGATCACTTAATACTTTTTGACGCCCTTTGCTCATACTATGCAAAACCAAAACGGTGGTCCGTCGGCTTTAACAAAATGGGTGGTGGTCTATCGAAAAAACCAAGGCACCGATCTCAAAAGAAACATTTGGAGACCTAAACAGATTGCGTCCAACAGCTTGATGCGATCAAACCTTGACTCATTGTGGCTATCCCTACAACTCAGTAGCCTCTTTGCCTTACTTGGATCTTCCGTCGACTCGTAAGCTTAGTAAACCCTCTCTTCTTCTTTTGCTTCATTTGTACTAGGCTTTTGAAAAAAGAGATACGCTAGCTATAAAATTTGTTGGGAAAAAATATCCGAATTGATGCTTTTATTTTCAGTTTTTTTGTTGATGAAAATGGTTTGTGGGGGTATATTGATGGAACTTAACCATAACTTGCACCATCAAATATTAAAGAAACCCAACAATAGAATATCAACAATGTAAAAATTGTTTTATGGATCATCAGTTCTATGGATATAGACATTGGAAGGCCAATGAAAGGCTTTTGTACTACGAAATAAATCTGGGAATATATGAAAAATGCTTATAAGTAATCAAATCTTGCTACGCGATTCTGTACCGAGTATGATATGTGGGTAAAAATATCGAAAAATAATATGTTGGTTTTATAAACTTTTGAACATAATTTGAATTTGTGAGTATGAAAGCTATCACAAATGGTTGTTGCATTAAGAACTTAAAAGAGATAAATGATGATAGGAAAGTGAGGCAATTTCAAATGAAATTATGCCCAGAATATGAGATAATTCAAGCCAATATTTTGAATCGTGAAATAATACCCAACATGGATGTCATTCGAGGTGAGTTACTTCGTGAGGATACGAGAATTACAACACAAACCACCATTGAGAGAAAAAAGATATGGAGTCCGTCCTTGTAGGATAAAAGCAAAGCCATCATAAAAGGACTCATCTTGGTTCAATGTTATGTAAGGAGTATGGTTATATAGCATCCCATTATAAAAGAATTTTTTTTGTAATTATGTCAAACATCCTAAGCATATTATCACATAGTATCGGAGACCGTCCTAAGCGAGGCAACCGAGCATCAAATACAAAGAAACCTTTTTACTAGGCATACCAAGCTGCTAATGATGCATCAAATAGATTAATGGTTGATACGAGGCTAGAGATCTCTCCAATAAATACTATTCATCCCCTAAATACGACAAAGTCCAAGACAACAGTTTGTCCGATGATATTCGGCAATTAGCACGAAACTCTATGTCAAAACACCTATCTCTTCTGCTTTCTTTATTATGGGCTTGTCTAGTAAAGACTCTCACCTATCCCCTACTGCCCTTTGGTTTATTGAATCAGGTGCCTCTAATCATGTGATTGGAGTGCACATAAATCTATCATCTACTAAACTATACCAAAGTAATAATTAAATTCTCATTGTTAATAGAGATAAATTTAACATTATTGGTATTTATAATATCTCACTCTGCGTCTCCCCTGATGGTTATGTGATACAGGATTGTCACACCCCAAGAATTTACAATACTGTTATTGTTGAGATGTGACAGGCAAAACATATATACATCTATTGATAGGACAAATTTACAGTGGCGAGGTCTTACAAAGTAAATAAAGAAAGCTAGCACAACAACAGTATCTTCCAAGGTTGATCTTGACTAGCACTCAAAATGAATCCGCAGTTATCCTGAAAAATGTTTACCATAGTTTGATGAGTTTGGCTACTCAGTAAGTGATCATCATAATCCCAAAAATAATCATGTTTGAAAGATATCAATTTTTTCCAAAATGAGATCTATTAACAGAAATGCATCAACAGTTTCACTTTCAATAAATGCATAATTAAGTATAATCCGAGTAATTGAAATGCTTATAACACTTTTAACGGCAGTACATAATTCAAAGGGTTTCACAAAATACCCTACTGGCGTCCCAAGTAGGTCACCTATATACCCCATCAGCGTCCTGATGGGTCCACTTAATCCCTATCGGCGTCCCAGATAGGTCCACTTAATCCCTGCAGGTCCACTTATACCTCACCGGCGTACCGGATGAGTCCACTTAATCCCTACCGGCGTCCCAGATAGGTCCACTTATACATCACCGGCGAACCGGTTGAGTCCACTTGCATACTTAAATTATTTCTAAATCTCTTTAAACATTCGAAAGCAGCAATATCAAGTACTCAACATATCGTTGAAATCATTAATATGAATTTCACTTAAACCATTAATAACAGTCATTCTCTATAACATTTCAAAAATAACCAATCAAATATTTTGGGCTCAAATTTAGAAAGGTAGCAGTTTGTAAAGGCATTCTAGCATAATTGCTAATTTAATATGTATAG